TTTGATGCTTTTGATATGTTCCTCCATTCCTCCTGTCTTTCCAAAGGTGGAATCTAGTTAAATATTAGTCCTTCCCTATTCTAGTTAATGGAGAGACGCACACTTCTAATCCGTTGGAGCTTTTCCTACCACTGTTGTGAAGGAAGAGTGGGCAAGTCTCATTGTGTTGGTGGAATTGAAGGACAGATGAGGCTAATCTTTTTTATTCCTTTTTTAAATTAAGGTATTACATGTGTATGTATCTTACCATTCAGATGAGGCTAATCTTTATGGGATAAGTTGTCTGCTTTTTTCCCCAGTGAGGAGCAGTCCTTCTAGATATTGCCACAGGCAAAGATGGAGTAATCTCTTCTTTTAGATCATATGCTAATATAATGCTGATAAGTCAGTGTGGAAAAATGAAAGGGAAATACATTAATTGTATTCTCTTAATAAGGTATGCTATCCAAGATAATTATTTCATGACCGTTTTAGTTATAGTACTTGTTTTATTATGAAATAAGAGATGGGTTTAGGAGCCTTTTATTGGAAAGACAATTGTATCAAATTAGTACCAAATTAGATTTTTGTCTTTATAAAGGTGAGCAAACCCATGAGCAGTTTTTAAATTGATGTGTTCTACGCTTCAAATGAACAAATTCTGTTTGAGGGTTAAAGAAGCTATTATTTTGTCCTTTATGCTGACAGCTTCATTACAGATTGGCCTACTATTGGCATTAAAAAAATGTTTGGCTCCTTATGATCTTTGTGCATGCAACTATAATATTAATGCAGCACCACAGCACTGTTCATTAAGGAATGACTTTAAATGAGGTTGAAGCGTGTACATTTGGAAAGATACAGATGTTAAATGCAGTCATTTCTCTTTGTATACAGCCGTATGGCTAATAATTTCCAAGTGGCTAAAGCTCTTGTTAGCAAGAGTGCTGGTGTGTTAAGAATGGCTCTATAAATAACTTTAAGAACTGAAGTTGAAGGTGCTTCTTTTAAAGACTATTGTTAACTAAACATTATTGCCAAACAGATGGAAAGCATTCACTGGCCTGATGTTTTTAGGTCTAATTATATTATCACCAGCCCGGTACGGCTCAGTTGAAGAGGTGTATCCAGAGGCCAATTTATAATCATTTAGCCAGCACCTGTTTGGGAGAAACTGACAGTCAAAGGGCACATTTAAAAAAAACCACATATGTTCTTGTGTTTATGGCCTCAATGTGAACGTTGTCTAGCTGCAGACAAACTTGGTAGGAGAAGAAAGTAAATGTAAACAAAGCAGCACTTCCCAGGCATGTTTATCGGTCTTCATTTGGCCTCTTTATCTGATCCACTTCATGCTCCATGGCTAAGTGAGATGGCAAAGAGCTATCACGTCTGATTTATGGGCATAGAGGCAGTTTAGTCAATTCGGAAGCTTCGGGTAGAAGAAAGAAGTTCTTTCCTTTGTACGGCTTCCATACCCTTTACCCAGTGAAACATTTATTTCATAGAGATGTGTCTTGTTTATTTTTATTTATTTATTTTTTTAAAATATATTTTATTGATTTTGTACAGAGAGGAAGGGAGAGAGATAGAGAGTTAGAAACATCGATGAGAGAGAGTCATCGATCAGCTGCCTCTTGCACACTCCCTACTGGGGATATGCCCACAACCAAGGTACATGCCCTTGACTGGAATCGAACCCGGGACCCTTCAGTCCTCAGCCGACGCTCTATCCATTGAGCCAAACCGGTTTCGGTGAGATGTGTCTTGTTTAAATAGAACTGGCATTCTGGTGAGTGGCTTAAAGGAGTCACAACTTGATATAAAAACAAATGAGATCTGAGGAACCCTATATGTCTTCACAGACTGGGTGTTCATTGAGTCCATTCTGCAGAGAGAGGGCAGGACCCTGTGCCTCCTTTTTGCTCTCATGATATGTTATTTTAACTGTCAAGGTTCATGTTCTTTGAATGTGTTTCCATGCGGTGGAAGATTGGTGCAGAAGGTAGCTCAAAGGGATATTATGGGGAGAATAGGTCTATCCTCTGAAAATAGTTTCAACCTGATGATCCTACCAACGCTTTCATTTTAGTGTTTTTCCTTTTGATATATTTTTGTATTAAAAGATTTATATATGTCACCTCCATTTTCTTATCAGCCATTATTAACTCAGAGGAGTCTGGCTCCTCTCTCCACCAATTCACTGCATAATGCAATATTTATAAACAAGTTATCAGTGGCTTTCTATTGCCCTAGGCAGTAATTCCTTCTCCTTTCTCAGTCTTTGTGGCTTCTAGATGCTTACACTAATTTACAGCATTTTCTCTCCTTGACATGGTTTTATTTTTTTTTTGAACCTCTACATTTTCTGGTTTTCTTTGTACTTTTCTCCTACAATTTTGGTGGTTATTGCCTATATATTCTCAATATAACAACTATGTATAGTATCCAGAATTTAGACACAACTAGTATAGCTTAGCAATTAAAAAGGAAGAACCCTGTGGCCCGACTACTAGGGTTTGAATTTCACCTTTACCATTGCTTAAGTTCTTAAGCATGAGCAAGTTAACAGCTTTATGTTTGGTTCCTCATCTGTAACATTGGTTAAAGTGTATCTATCTCATTGAAATAACTCACTGTTGAGTGCATTACCTGATTTGATTCCTTAAAACGAAGTTTAGTGCCTAGGATAAAGTAAGCATTTTAGTGGGGCATGTTCTCCTGCCTTTAGCTACTGTCTTTATGGAGAATGCTCAACTATAAACCTTCAGTTTCAATTTATTTTCTAAGCTCCATTCCCATATGGCTGTCTACCTTCCATACTTTTATACCGGAATTCATCCACTTTGAACATTTATTATGGGAGATTCATGGATTGGAGGAGACATCATTTCTGCCCCATACAGTTCTCTGTGGCTGCCATAACAAAGTATTACAAACTTTGCAGTTTAAAACAACTGAATTTATTGTCACATGGGATAGATGTCTGATATAGGTCATGTTGGGCTGTGTTCCTTACTGGAGACTCTGGGGAAAAACGATCATTCTGCTTTCAACATGCTGATACAAACTTTAAATTGGGAGAGAGATAAGTAAGCATAAAACCAAACTGAAGGATTAGAAATGCTATATAGAAGTTGGTACCATATGCACAAGAAGGTGAGAACAAAGGAATAAAAGACTGTTATTGAGAGATAAACATTTGGAAAGATGAACACCTGTTTGGTAAGTGGATGGGGGAACATTTAAGGGAGAAGAAGCAATAATAGTGATAGCAATAACAATAATAACAACTGGCTATATCAGTACTTTTACAGGATTATCTCTCACTAAAATTTTCACATGATAGACACCATTATAATCTAGCATTATAGCTCCTACAGATGAAGCTGTAATGCCTTCACAGTTAGAATAGAAATGGTGAAATTATCACATTGGGTTGTTGAAAGAATTAACATTGATCACACATGTTAAAGCACAGCACATAGTAAACACTTAAAGCCTGGTAGGTGAAGGACAGTAGAGGGTGGATAAGGAAATAGGAAGTGGAATTGACTGGCTTGGTCACTGGTTATGAAGGTAGGGGGTAGGGGATTTTTTATAGTGACTTAGGGAACTTTTTGGTTGGGGGGTTCAGTGGATGGTGGTATTATTCAGTTTTGTAGGAGGAGAAACAGGGTTTTGTTTTGTTTTTAGTGGGGCCAGGGCTTTGAGGAGAAAAAGGGGTGAGCTCAGGAGGTATCTGTGGGAATATTCAATTGAAATTAAATGGAGACCTACATAAGTATATCAAGCACTCAGAAGAGAGGTCAAAGATGATGTCACTATTACTTCAAATTCATCATGTTGAAAATGGAATATACCATCTTCTCAAATTGCTATCTCATCTTAACTCACCACCTTTTCTTCTGACCACCTATTTTTTTTCATCCTTGATTCCAAGTGCTCTGGAGTTGGGGAGGGAGATCCCTGTTTACAGAGCTTGCTGATTCTGTGTTGTAAATACTGTCACTGCGCATTTCAAATGGTAGCTACTTTGGTGCTACAGCAGTGGGATTGAATTGCTGCAGCAGAGACCTCCCTCATGGTCCCGCAAAGCCTAAAATATTTATTATCTGTCTCTTTGTAGAAAAAGTTTGCCAACTTCTGGTTATTTAATTATAAAATATTAAAATGGTAAGATAATTTTGTATCCCTCTTTGCTCCTTCCATCCATCAAGAGGGTGGGGAGTGGGGAGTTTGAGTGGCAGTGTGTGAGATCATGAGGGGTCTTGAGATCATCTTTTGGACTTAGGTTTTTTATCTGAATGAGAAGAGTGACATGACCTACTTCGTTTTAAAAAGAAAATCCTGCCTGCTATTTAGAGAACAGACCAAGGGTAGCAAAGATGGAAGCAGAGAGATCTGCTGGGAGGCAGTTGTTTTAATCCAAGTGCCTCTTTGTTTGGACCAGGGAAATAGCCAGGAAGTGGTGAGGCACGTTCAGTTCTAGATACATTTTGAAGATAAGGCTAACAGAATTTGCTGATGGAAAAAGAGGAGTTAGGATGAGTCCAGAATGGAGAAGTGGGACCATAATGATGCCTCAGACTGGAGCTTGAGTTATTGCAATCACATTATAATAGAAAGTGGCCAGGTAAGGAGCTTTAGAGAGAAAATCGAGATTTCGGCAATTATTGTAAAAAAAAATTATTCTTAATTGTAATGTTTCATGAGAAAAAATTCTAAAATAATTTTTCATTCACTTTGAAGAAATGTATTTTAAAATAAATCTAGGAAACATAGTAATGTTTCTAAAATATGGCATTTTTAATAAAGAAAACCATAAAAAAACTTTCTTTAGGTAAGATAACTTTAATCCTGTGATTTGGTGCCTTTAAAAAAACCTATTCAGAAGTTAACAATTTTTGTGGAGTCAATTTAGCACTTTCCCTCAAACCCTTAGAGTGTAGTTTTAAAAAGCTACGAGTTAATGTTGCATTGTAATTATGAATAAATACTCACTCATATTTTTTATGTAGGTTTTACTTGTAATGGACACAAGGACAGAACAGACATTCGTTTTAAAGGTAAGTAGACTTTGTATGTTTACTTATTTAAATATTTTAGTAATTTAAAAATTTTATTTATATGTTTAATGATCTTGAAATTTATTTTCAAACTGTGCTCCGAAAGAAAAAAAATTAATATTGTTTTCCTGGTGTTTATTTTGTGCAATATGATATGCTCCCGAATAAAACTTAATAATTAAAAAAAATTTGTTTTCCTGGGTGTTTGAATGTTCTATTTTGAATGTTCATTTATATTTGTAGTGATCTGTATTTATTTTATTTTTTGTCCTTTCATTGCATACATTTAACAAGCATTTTAGATTAGAGTATGGAGGAAATAATTTGGATAAGTTGAAGACTCATTTTGTTTAAATGTATAATACACAGTTTAAATTCATCTCTAATACTTCTTGTATAATTTGTGGAGATCATATACCATTTAACCTATGATTATGATTAAGTGCTGACATTTTACCTTAAAGTCTTTGTAACAAATATTTGGGAAAGTATTATCTACATCCCTGGCCTTTTTTATTTCTGTTTTAATTCTCTATATAACTCCATTTGTAACTAAATATATAAGGAAGGAAAATCCCTTCAGTTTTTAAATTTTAAAATTGTATTTGAAATGGATTGTGACAATACACATTCTACAAATATCCCAATTTAAGCATTTCCACAGCATCCAGAATTAACCAATTTCATATTAATCTTATATTTCTTTTTTTGGTGCATGGTAGTAGATTGATCACATTGACATATACTGAAACAAATTTCTTTTTATGAATATATTTTATAACTGGCATTTCCCCAGATTTTTAAACCAAAGTATGACACCAGAAACTACACACACCTATTCCTTTGGAGAAAAATAAAATACTCCTGGTGCTTTTTTGGAATAGAATTTTAAAATTGCCTGTTTAATCTAGGAATACCTTTTGTATCTCAGCAATTTGAATTGATTCACAATGTCTACTGCTTTAAAGATATACACAAGTAAATAAAACTTAAGAAAAGGTCATAGAGAAATAACTGTATGATCCTGATGACTTAGTTTGAGAGCATCTCTAATAAAAACACTGACCCACGTAATTGATTTTAATGGCAGCTTTGTGGCATCTTCTGTTCTCTGGATTCTCGCCAGATGCCATCAGCAGAGCCTCCAGGGACTGAGGGGCATAGAGCAGCAGATGAGTGGTTTCTCTGAAGCCCAGAGTAACTCGGATAGATTAGTTTGGTTGATAAACACAGAGCACAGCAAGCTCCAAAGGCAACTGAGGGTACAACTGACCTTTTTGTTCTCTGTCAGGGTCTAAGGAAAAGCAGTGAATACAGCAGGAACAGAAAGACCATCATCCCCCGCTGTGTGCCCAACATGGTGTGTCTGCACAAGTACATCATTTCTGAGGAGTCGGTATTTCTGGTGCTGCAGCACGCAGAAGGTTGGTTTGTACTTTAAATGTTTTTGCGAAGAATGTCACCTATTTAGCTTTTTGGCTTCTGGAATATCTCTCCGTCATTACACGAATGGATAAAACATATGAAACACACGCAAGAAACTGTTGCCTTCTTCCTCTGCCTTCCCTTCCTACTTTGAGTTGGGAGGGGAAATGGAAACCCAGATGAGCAGCAGATTTCACTGGAGCTACAGGAGCGTTCTGCTGATATACTTAACTCCTTGCTTTCTCCTAGACTCGATCTGATGGGATGAGAATGTGTGCTAAGAGAGCCAGGTTTAATTGTACAGATTTTATTTTGTTCTCTTGTTCTCTGCTGAAAGGATACATTAATGTTAGATGACTAAAATAAAAAGCATCCCCTGAAGAATTAATTAATTACCACCCTTTTTAGAAGGCCCGGTATTTGCTTGACATTTGACATGACCTAGTTATTCAAATCTAGGTTTTTGTGCATACAGCCATTGGCATCACATATGGGGACAAATCAGAGAGAAGCACATTACTTTACTTTCAAACACTGTGAAATTTCAGCTCTGAGTTGAGCGAACAGGTGGCAAAAAGACTATGTTTTGATTTGTTTTTGCCTTTTAGTGCCTGAATTAAAAATTTTTTTCTTAAAAAGAACTGAATACAGCATATAAATATAAATCCACAGTATAAATATTGCCTTTTGCTTTTCAAAGGTGTCCTTTAAAATGGTAAATATATTAAATTTTCTGTATTTCACGAGGGTGTTATTATTATTTTTACATTACTGAGAATAGGGAACTATTGTGCTTTACTAATAGGCATAATATTTGAATTTAATGCACTTTTGCAGGAAAATGAGTCATTGCTTTGCGGAATGAGGTCTCTTATGAGAACTAATGCAAGATTTTTGATGGCACTAAACTATTAATATTGTTTATTATGAAGTACAGCACAAGATAACTACAGATGGAGGGAAGACCTCCATATGTGGTACTTAATAGGAAATTCAGAAGGGGCTCCATGGTCTCTCAGGTATTAAGAGAGTTAATTGTGTGTGTGAATTGGATAACTAATTCACCTTTGTTCAGACATTATAGACAGCTTTTATCTGAGGATACCAGTGCATTACAGACATTATTGAATTAGAGGTCATGTCATCTGATAGTGGAATACAACCACCTCTGGTGTGGAACAAAAATAACTTGTGCAGTAATAATCCATAATAATTTAGAACAAGGTCAGTAGGATGAATGTAATTATAGTCAATGTTCTATTAACCGGGGTGGATTATTCATGTTGGAGATTATCTGTGGCAAATTTTTAATCCTATTTTACCCCTGTTATTTACAAATTCCTCTTCCTATTCTTCTCTTGCTTCTTCTACTCATACTTCAGTTTTTCTTTGGCCATTTTCTCACCTTTCCTTCTACTCTAGAGCTGATATTTGAACTGAATTTATTGCAGAACTATAGAAAGTCTTTATAATCTGTCTTAAAGACATAGACATAATAGTTTTCAAATTTTCCACTATTTTAGATTATCTTTACCAGGTCTCTTTTCCTTTGTTGTTGATCATGTCTGAATTTGAATAGTCACATGACCATAGACTTTGTCTTGGATTATGTAAACACTAAAGGCCTGGTGCACAAAATTCATGCACTGTTTGGGGAGGGGGAGTAAGTCCCCTCAGCCTTTCCAAGAGCCCTCAGGAGGCGGGAGAGGCGCCCACCACTGCAGCTGTACTCATTAGCCATGCACCTGGGTTCTAGCTGAGTGCACTGACCATCAGGGGGCAACTCCTGCATTGAGTGTCTGCCCCCTAGTGGTCAGTGTGCGTCATAGTGACCGGTCATTCTGCCATTCAGTCAACTTGCATATTAGCCTTTTATTATATAGGATTGGGGGTAGGGATCTCTTTTTACTGTGTTTCTTAGGAGTCCATTGTTTACTTTTAAGAAGATTTTATAATGCAAAAATACTAAATTATAATACAAATGGGGACTCTGGATTCATTTAACATTCAACAAATTTATTGAGTATATCTAGGTCACATGTGTCAAACACAAGGCCCTTGGGCCAAATCCGTCCCGCCAGGCCTTGCAATGTGGCCCGCACCGCGCTGTCATCACTGCACTCCGCTGCGTTTCCATCACAATGACAGTTTATGACTGTTCAGTAAACCATTCGGCCCGCGATTTAGGCTGGATTTTAGATTTTGGCCCCTTCTCTGATTGAGTTCGACACCCCTAATCTAGGTGAACAAGACAAGAAAAGAGCCTGCCCCTTTGAAACTTACATTCTTGTGAAGAGTCAAACAGAGAAACTAAAAGCATGAGAATATTAGATAATAATAAGGACTCTACTTATCTTTTACTTTTTATTTATTGATTTCAGAGAGGAAGGGAATGGGAGAGAGTATAGAAACATCACTGACCGACTGCCTCCTGCACAACCACCACTGGGGATTGAGCCCACACCTGAGGCATATATCCTGACCAGGCATCAAACTGTGACCTCCTGGTTCATAGGTCAACACTCAATGACTGAGCCATACTGGCTGGGCATTTCTATAGTAATCTTTAACAGAGAGAGACCCAGTAGATAAGGACTTGGGGACTATTTTAGATTAGGTAGTCAGGGAAGTCCAGGTGACATTTAAGAATTCTGAATGACAAAAGAAGTAACCATTTGGATATAAGGGGGCAGCACACCAGGTAGAGCATCAGTGAAATAAATTGAAGGCAAAAACAATTTGAAATGTTTGAGGAAAAGAAAGGAGATCATTTGTTTATAGTGTAGTGGGTGAGGGTAATAGAATATGGGGCTATGGGAGAAGTAGCCAGGAGACATCTATGACAGAGTAAGGATGTTGGCTTTTATTCAAGTGCATTGGGGAACATTGGACATCTGAAGCAGTGATCAGAACATATTTACATTAAGAAAAAAATCACTCTGGCTGTTGTTTGGGGAAGGGATTGTAGAAAGATAAGACAAGAAGCAATGAAAAGGCTAATAAAGTAGTCTCAGGCAAGAAATTATGATGGCAGGATCTTCTAGGCTTCTAGCAGAGATACTTTGAGTCCATGGTACCTGTAATGAAATAAATTTTGGGAGAGAAGAATTTGGGATAATTTCTTAGATTTGGCTTGAGCAATCAAGTGAACTAGATGATGGACAATGTGCTATCTTTTATATATTAGTGATACTTTCTTTGTTATCTCTGTGAATTAGGAAGTTGTGCATATAGCATACAAATGTCACTTTCATATGCTGGATAAACTGTTACTGAAAAAGTAAATGAGCAGGTTTTTTTTCATAATATGAATATTTATGATTTGTGGCATTTGTTTTCCTCTGCTTACATAATTCACATGAGTCTCTTGGACTCATTTTCTTTCATTCAGTCAGAAATGTATTGCATGCTTACTGGGATACAGTCTTAGTTCTAAAATAGACAAAGACTGCCCACATGGAACTTACATTATAAAAGCCGGACAGACAGTAAATAAATACTTAAGTAAATATATGTCAGATGGAGATAAATAAAGGAAGGGATGCCAAAAGGGTGAGGTAGAGATTGCTATTTTATATAGAGTGGTCCCCTTAGTAAGAAGGGACATTTGGCCAGTAACTTGAAGGAAGTGAGAGAGGGAGCAGCAGTGTGGATACAGGAGGGAACAATATCCTGGTAAGAGAGAATAGTACAATACATAGGCTTGGAGGCAAGAGTGTGTACTTGGTGTACAAGAAGCAGGAGTGTCAGTGTGGTGGAAGCAGAATGGGAAGAGTGGCAGGAAATGAGCCTAGCAAGATGGGGAGGCAGGTGGGCAGATCCTGCGTGGTCTTGTAGGCCACTTTAAGAACTTGATTTTTATTGTGGCAAGATGGGGACCACTGTGGCTGCTTTGTAGAAAATAGAAGACAGAAGGACAAAGGCAAAAGCAGAACAGTTTGGAAGTTGTTGCAGCAATCCAGGTGAAAATGATCGAGGCTTGGACAAAGTATTAATGGTGGAGGTGGTGATAAATAGTTATTAGATTCCGAATGTATTTTGAGGATAGAACTGATATGATTCTACCTTGCTTGACTCCAGGGTTTTGGCTCAAAGAGCTGAAAGAATAGAGTTTCCATTTACTGAGATGGGAAAGCTGAGGGAGAGGCAGATGTAGAGGGAACAATCAGAGATTTAGTTTGGACATGTGAGTGTGAAATGTTTATTAAATCTAGATGGTATATACGGAGTAGGCAATTGGATATACCAGTTGAGATTTTAGGAGAGAGGTTTAAAATGCTTGTTTTTGTTAATGAATCTCTTACTTTGACTCTAAGGAAGAAAAAGTGGGAAAATAATTGCATTCAGTAAAGGCCATGAGTGTTGTTGAAACCTTTTAAGTTCCTAAGATTATGGATTAAATCATATTCATAATACATATTCCAGCATTTAGCAGAATGCTTAGTATATGGAAAGTGCTCAGTGTATAATTGTTGAATACTGAGTTGGAGGAAAAATGAATGACTAGGTTAGAAGAAAATGTTTGGAAAAGACTTTGAATGTGCACCAAATGGATGGGAGATGGAAAGTAATTTCTACCCAAGTTATTTGGAGATCTAAGGAGTGAAATTATTATCTTTTCATTAACTAGTTTAAAAATTTATAAAACTACTATGTAAAGAAATTAATTTGAACTATGTAGAAGTATACAAAATAGAATTAAAACGCTCCCTTCCTATTCACTTTAATGCCCAGCTTCATTCTCTAGAAATAGCGGGAAATTTCCTGTGTATATAAACATATACTCCCTACCTGTCTGCTTAAAAAACAACACATAAATGAATCTTAAATATTGTTTTATAGCTCTTCCCCCTCCCCCCATCTTAACAATGTATCTTGGACACCTTTCCTTTTCAGTGTATATAGGTTTGCAGTATAGTATAATGCTTAAAAACAAGGATTCTGGAGCCAGTTCACCATTTACTAGTTGTATGACTTTGGACAAGTTACTTAACTTTTTTTGTGCCTAGTATGTTTCCCTATCTATAAAATAGGGGTGATAATATTTACCTACCTCATAGGACTGATGTGAGGATTAAATAGTTGATATGTGTCAGTACTTAGAACAGGGCCTAGTACATAGTAAACACTATGTGAATATTTGAAAGCATTGCTCTAATTTTTTTGAATAGATACAAAATATTTGGTAGTATAGATTTATCATAATTTATTTAATTACCCCCTGTTAATTGGTATTTAAATTGTTTCTAGTGCTTTTACTGATATATTTTTGTTTTTTGAGAACTAATTTTAAGAGAAATTTCTTGCAGTAGAATTGCTGGGTCAAAAGATGATTTTGATCATTGGTCCAGCAATATTTTATCATACATATTAATTTAAAGTTTCAATTTTAGTCAAGCAAATTTAAATTTAACAATTTTTTTTGCAATCTCGCAAAAACACACACACAAACAACCCAAAACAAAAACAAAAACCCCCACACACATGCACAAAACCCCACAACCCCAATAGATTAAAATCTGATGAGATACAAAGACAGAGTTTTAATTAAACCTTATGAAATACTATTTTCATAGCTTAACATAGCTAATATCTACTATTTTATATGCTTTAGTGGGACTTAGAAAGGTGTCAATTAGATTTTTAAAGTGTCAAAAATCATAAGTATGTTTGGTATTTCTATTTCTATTTTGTGGTTTAGCCAATAATAGGATTTTTTAAGGTTAATATTTTTTAATGTTAAAACAGTAAGATTGACTTTGTGTATGTTTGTTGGGTCTGATCTTATCTCTATAGAAAATAAAGCCCAAACAGTTTTTGTGGGTGAGAAACTTCAGTAGGAATAATGTATTTTTGTAAATTATGTGATTTTCATGATTTCATAATTTAAAAAAAGTATGTGATAGAACCAACATATTTGTTTCTGTAGCTCCATATTGAGCACTAAATTTAAGTGGGCACCTAGAAAAGGATGAAGAAGAGCTAAAACAGTTTATATCTTGCTTGAACATGCAGAATTTTTATAATTTAATTTGAATACTTGTTTAGGTTAAGAACAAATTCCATAAGTGCCAGCAAATACATTTAGTAATTTTACCTAAGAATGAAAGAATGGAAATTAAATAAGATGCTCTATTTGGTAAACGTGCAAATATCCAGTAAAGCAAATTGCTATGAAGATGGCACCAATGCACATTGCTTGTAGGAGCAGATCCTGAGGATAAATAACAGCACATATCAGAAGCATTAAAAGTATTGATCTAGTACTGTCATTTCCGGGATTCTGTTTTGATGAAATAATCAGAGATGCCAAGCATTTGTATGTAAAAGTATGTATTATTTTAATTCAAATAGCAAAAGCTGGAATAAATAAGTGTTCATTAATAGAGGAGCATTTAAATACATCATGAGACCTGTCACATATGCTATATAGCTAGCCTTCAGGTTCATATTCTCATGGAAATTAGAAATTGTTTATGAAATGATGCTAGTCATGAATAAAATGACTGAAAATAAATGTACTAATAGTTAATAGTGATTGTGCATAATTTATATATTCTGAATTTTTTGCTTTCCTGTTTATTTAAAATTTTTAAACACTAGGACCATATATTTGTTTTAAAATAGGAAGATTACATGATAAAAAATAATGACATTTTAAATATTTTTGGACCTTTTTCCTTGAGAGGGTTTCAAAAATTTGTAAAAGACACTATCTTTTTATAACCCACTCTAATACCTATTATTTTATATGCTAGTTGGAATTCTCTCCCTGCAGTTATAAAGGCCCTGGAGTCTGGTAAAGGAGATAATAAAAACATTAAAGTATTATTAGTATGAAATAGAATATTGTCTAGAGCAGTGTTTCCCAAACTTTTGACACATGTGTACCCCTTCTATAATTTTCGTAATGCTGAGTATCCCTCGTACTCATGAGAACATAGAATTAGGCACAGCTAAGCACTGTGCAGTGCATATCCCCACCAAACTCCAGTGCAACGCGTACCCCCACCAAACTCTTGCCGTACCCCTGGGGATGCGCGTACCACACTTTGAGAAACACTGGTCTAGAGGATAGAGAGATTATAGGAGTTCTGTCCAGTAAGGAGATATAAAAAAGAATGGTAAAATAAAACAAATTCTGAAGGACCTTCAAGAATGGGTGGGATTTTGACAAGCAGATATTGGGGAAACTAATAGGAAAGAAAGTTCTAAGTGGTAGGTATAGTTTGAAAGAAAGCCCAGCATGGTTATATGTGGAGCAATCTGGTCCAGATGAATTTTGCAGTGAGAACTTAAGGGTTGATACTGTATTACTGAGAGTTTCAAATACCTTTATAAAGTTGGTATATCATTCAGTAGGTGGAGGGGATTTGGGTTCTTGAATGGAAAATGACATAATAAGATCTGTGCTAAATTAGAAGCAATTATGGTAGCAATTAAGTTGTAGCTATAACTTTATTCCAAGAAAAAGAGTGGTCAAAGGAATTAAAAGAAGAGGAAGACTGTGAAAAACATTATGGATAGATCTTATCGGACTTGGAAAATTGTAGAGAGAAAAAGGAAAAGAAAAGTATCCAAGTTTGGTCTAAAGCTTCTCTGACAGAATGGCTCAGAAGTCAGAAAGAGGAAGAATTTTGGGGCCAAAAATAAAGAATTTATGCACCTTGAATTTTTTATTTCAGCAGCTCATCCAGGTGAAATTGGCCTAAGAATGAATGAAATTTTTCCTGGAACTTGAGTACATGCTGTTTCCTGCTGATCCCTGGAGCTTCATGCTGAAGATACTGTCTGGTTTGTGATGGCATGTCTCCTGATGAGTTGCCATCTGAGTTAACAAGCATTGACTAAGTGTCTGTCATGTCCTGCGCACTGTATAGGAAGTACATATGCAAAAACGAAAAAGATGTGGTTCCATCCTTACAGTAGTCACTATCTAGGAGAATTGAAAATAGCACATTTTTTTATATTGCATATAGGAATCCCAGCTGCAGGTTTAGGCATTATTGTTAGTGTACCACAGTAGAGCTATTTGTGACAAGAAGGGTGTCGTTACTGTTGTCAAAAGACTAAAATGGAGCCAATGCATAGCTCCTTGTACGAGTGAGTGAGTTTCAAAGCCATATATGAATGTTTAAAATTAAGTTTTAATGTGGGGACATAAGAAAAACTAAGTATAATCTAGTGAGAACAGAAAGTTAGCTAAGAAAAAATGAGAAGGTAATGTTTAAACTTCACAATGTACTATGTACTACTATGATAAAAATAGTAGTATATAGTGAATTATACAGGTTTAAGAAGACTGTTAACTATGTCACTGATAGAGGAGCTGCATGAGTATTTTAGGATAATACTATGACGGATACCCTTTATTGAGCAGTTACTCTATGTGAGGCATATCATGAGCCTTTTATGTATTTATCAAATTCCTCTAAATGAAATGAAATGAGAAGTAGAAAAAGTGTTTTTTGGATGCTTTCATTCTAATACTTTTTACACATGTAATTGACTGTCAATGATTATTACCCTTAAGATTTACTTACCCTTGGTAAATGATAATATGGTAATGCTTAATAACAGCATTAAAAAAGTGTTGAAAAAATTGCTTTCACCATATTAATAAAGAGTTTCATTTTTAACACCTGATTTCTCACTTTTAGAAGCCATAGTTATATCTTCACAAAGTATGCTTCTGCAATTACTGTTTATAAGATTTCGGGATCAAATTTAACCTTGTAATACTGTTTCTAGTAAGTAGAGCTTTGGTAGGTTTTGGTTGCTTATAGTTTATTTAATCAATGATTCTAATTAGCAAAAGAGATTTAGTTTTTAGTGATAAAAACAAAACAAATGAAAAATAAGGTGAAATAGTTACCTAACAAGTATTGTTAGGAAAACATTGGATTATTTTATTTCTGTGATTTTTGTAAAGTTGGTTTTTATGTTTTTAGCTTTTATATAGGTTTCTAATATATATATCAGAATACATAATTAGAATTACAATAGCTTGCCTCATTAATGGCTGCCAATTAATATTCAGTTGCATTACTTAGTCTCATACTACACATGATGTGTATAAGGAGGGGAGAAAATGGGAAAATATTATTAATATGTCATTTATAATGGCATAATTATATACCAGATCCAAATCTCTCCTCTAATCTTGGACTGGGCATTTTTTAAATGCAATAATATTATTGACTTTTTTTTTTTTGACCAGTGAATTATACAGTTTTAAGCGTCACTTATTTATAAATTTCCACTTGACCAAGGGGCCATGCTTGAAAAAATTATTACATAAACAAATCAGAACACAATCAGCTATTTCTAAAGTTAAATTAGATTTAACTTTAAAGCAGAAAGTCAGCTGTGATATTTCATATTAGTATTTGTTATAACTAATTTCCCTTTAAAGGAAGAAATAAGTTGTCATTTCAGAAATAATTGATATTAGGGGATATGCTAACACTGTATTCACCAGTCAGCAATAACAAAAGACATTTTATTAAAATGCTTGTCTTTCAGCATACTTGATATATTAATGGGTGGGTATCATTGACTGGCTCCTAGTTGATTATTCGAATACCTTTTGCTTTTCTAGTGACTTCAATAAGTATCTGTTAATTTAGGGATCTTAAAAGTTTTTTTTGTTGCACTTGTTCACAGGTGGCAAACTGTGGTCATACGTCAGTAAATTTCTCAACAGAAGTCCTGAAGAAAGCTTTGATGTCGAGGAAGTGAAAAAACCTGCATTTAGGAAAGTTCACCTGCAACAGCCGACTTCCAGTCCTCAGGACAGCAGCAGCTTTGAATCCAGAGGAAGCGATGCTGGACCCACGCTTCCGGTTCTGCCTCTGAAAAGCAGTCTTACCCTGAGCTCTCAAGATGATAGCAACCAAGAGGATGATGGCCAAGATAGCTCGCCAAAATGGCCAGATTCTGGCTCAAGTTCAGACGAAGAATGCACTACTAGTTATTTAACATTATGCAATGAGTATGGGCAAGAAAAGATTGAACCAGGGTCACTGAGTGAGGAGCCTTTCATGAAGATGGAAGGAAATGGTGTCGATACCAAAGCTGTTGAAGGCTTCCCCACACACCTTGTTGCTGACAGGCACAGCCCCAGCACCCAGCTGATGGCACATGAGCTGACATTGTCCCCTGGAAATGATGACCTGGAAACAGTTAGTTCTCCAAGGACATCAGATGCCCTCAGTAGATCTAAAACCAGCTCCATGGAATTCTTTAGGATAGACAGTAAGGATAGCACTAGTGAACTCCTCGGACTTGATTTTGGAGAAAAAATGTATAGTCTAAAGTCAGAGCCTTTGAAACCATTTTTTACTCTTTCAGATGGAGACAAGAGTTTTAATATTAGTGAAAGCAAAGTTATAGCTCAGGACACCATTAGCAGGGGCTCTGATGACTCTGTCCCAGTTATTTCTTTTAAAGATGCTGCTTTTGATGATATCAGTGGTACTGATGAAGGAAGGCCTGATCTTCTTGTAAATCTACCTGGTGAATTGGAGCCAACAAAAGATGGTGCAGCAGTGGGACCTACTAAGTTTACACAGACTAATGCAGGCATAATAGAAAGTAAGCTATTGGAAGCCCCCGATGTTTTATGCCTCAGGCTTAGTGCCGAACAGTGCCAAGCACAGGAAGAAGGCTCGGAAGAACTGAGTGACCCCTCTAGGCTTCCACCTGATGGTGTAACAGAGAAACACTACGTACAGGGGAGTCCTGGGATGTTATTTGCAGCTGCTGTTGATCATAGTAGTTCGGACATTTCCTTGATGCATAGCCCGCACCCTAACTTTCAAGGACTTGGAGGGGATGAGTCGGCAGTGACTGCAAACAACACAGAGGAAAGCGTATTCCCTGCTTCTGACCCACTCTCAGGTGCTAACGAATACGATGCAGACACGGACACTTTAAAAACGGAGGAAGTCTTTCTGTTTACAGATCAAGCTGATGATTTGGCTGAAGAGGAACAGACTTTATTTCAGAGAGTCTCTGTGACTAAGGGAGCCAGTGGGCAAGCACTAGAAGGAGACAAGGAGATACATCAGATTTTTGAGGACCTCGATAAAAAATTAGCACTGCACTCCAGGTTTTGCATCCCAGAGGGCTGTATTCAGAGATGGGCAGCTGAAATGGTGGTAGCCCTTGATGCTTTACACAGAGAGGGAATTGTGTGCCGCGATTTGAACCCAAACAACATCTTATTGAATGATAGAGGTCAGGAACTTTTGCAAATGCATTTCTTTTTATTCGCTATTGCTTCCAATTAACTGAGTAGGCGTTTTATCTTGTAATTAGTATCTTCATTTCCTATCTAGAGCTTCATTATCAGTGCAGCAAATTCACCCCCAGTAATAGCTTCTAGTACTTAATGATGCCATTATTCTTAATGATACTGTTTTTAGCTACAAAAGGAGTAATTACAGTTCACTTCTGCAGAAAATGGAAGAGAAAAATGTTTTGATTTCTCCTGTCGTTTTGTTTTTAGGACACATTCAGCTAACGTATTTTAGCAGGTGGAGTGAGGTTGAAGATTCCTGTGACAGCGATGCCATAGAGAGAATGTACTGTGCCCCAGGTTAGAGTCATCTCCTACAATGTTTTGCTTGCAAAAGTAGCCCGCAGCTCTCATTTCTTTATGGAAGTTGTATTTGTCACTAGCAATTCACATATATGTTGTATTTGGTTTTCTCCTTAACCCTTCAAAAAAGGAAATTGAAACCATATATAATCGATAGGGGTGTGTGTGTGTGTGTGTGTGTGTGTGTGTGTATGTGTTTATTTGTTGTTAAAGGGGTTTGTATTTTTTGTTAGAAATGTCTTAACTCCTTAGTGTTTAGAAAGAACTTTAGATACCCTGAGTCTCTTTAAATGGATGATTTTTATTAAGATGTGAGAGGTAATTGATTAAATAGGTAAAATTCCTAAGGCTAAAAATATGGGTAAAATATAGAATTAAAAATTTTTTAGAGTAGATTTTAAAGAGCTCATTCCATATTTTGAGACATTTTAGAAAGCATGTTCTTGTTTTAACATAGCCTATTTTGTTAAATATTTGACATAACAGGTTTCTCTTTCTCTTACTGTATTATTTTTATTCTTTTAATTAGAGATTTATTTCTAGAGATGTTAGATCCTTTGTTGAAATCTACAGGTCACTTGAGCATATGAATTGTATTTGAGTTAGTTTCTCTTTGTCTGAGTCCAAAGTTTGTTCACCTTTTGCCTATCAGTCAGCCTCTTTGGATAGCCAAAGCTGCTTCATTTGTCACCCCAAGGGCTTTCAAAGGAGGTTCAAGCTGATTATGTTGACATGATCTGCTTAGTTGTTGATTAATACAGTATTTAAGTACTTACTAGCTAACCAGTGTATTATTGATGCTAACATTGCTTCACTGCATAATGGGAAATGATTATAATTAGGATTGAAGGAGCTATATTGTTTTAGTTACAACCTTCATTGTTACGAATGATTTCTGTAATGGGGAATTTCAAAGTTTTTCAACTTGCAGAGCAAATACCCTAAAACTTATGTTCTGAAAACAATGATTTGAATTTTCTTCTTACCTTACTCTCTTTCTTCTCCAAAATTAGGGCTCTTTGTTTTTATGTCTTCCTAAGGGCCATAGAGCATGCTTACATTTTCTTGTTTCTCTCAAATACATAATATTATTCTGTTTTTTGAAACCTTATTAGTATGATTTAGTTAATGGGATAACAAAAATGTTTTCATAGAAAAATCACTTTGTTAAGGTTATCTAGTTCTTTTTTTTCTTTTCTTTCTTCTTTTTATTTTTAACAGACTCTCCTCTTTTCTAATTTGGTAAGAAAATACACTTATTAGTTATACTGAATTTGAGATTTTAGAATCAAAATTAAGTCTAGGGATTTTTAAAAAGTGGAATCCTATTAAACTTTGAAGTCCAGTGCAGTGTAAACCTTAGATCAAAACCAAAGATTTATGGAGCACTGTTTAATGTTTATACCTGACTTGTTATTTCCTGTTAGTGTTGTTACTTTCTTACTGGAAACTCTGTAGGGTTGTACTTTGGCATTCTAGCAGATTAATTTTCTTCAGTTTTAAGTACAGTCATGTTTACTGTTATGTTATATAGCATGTGGACCTCCTTAGAGTTTAAATATGTGTGGAACAAAATCATACCACACTCCATTAATAGATACAACTTTCAATTTTGTGTCCTGAAATACTGAATTTAATAGATCAGTATCCAAGTTCTATTTTTTAAGCTACCCCCCCCCCCAGAAATCACAATTCTTACAGTTGACCAGCAGGTGGCAGTCTACCATTAATGGATTTTTGCTCTCATCTTCCAGGTTGTCTGTCCTTCACTAACATTCAAAAGAAGCTATAGTCTGAAGAAGGGTTTTGTTTTAATTATTTGCATAAAATAATTGTACTTTTAAGCTTTGTGAGTTGCAAAAGTATCCTAGATTATGGCTTGCATTGAAAAATGTGGAAAGTCTCTTTATTCCTTGGGCTTTTTAGTTTGTTTTATCAATAGGATAAAATAAAACCAATACCCCTGTAATGGTCTTAGCTGAAAAGCAATGCTAGAATTCTAAGTTAGGTGATCTTAAATCTAGAGAGTTACAGGACTTAATGAAGTCTGTGTATTGCTTCCCCTTGCTTACAATACAAAGGTAATTAGAGCAAAAATTTATAAATTACTGCATCTCAAAATTGAAGGGCAGTCCTATTGATAAAAACTACAAGTAGGCTTTCCTCCTTCTCTCAAAGAGGTGGGAGTAATGATAATATACTAGTATTTCGACACTCAAAAATCACAAATCAATGAATACAGGGTGACATAGAGAACTTAGTCCTCTTTTGATCTATCTACCCTTAGAAACATTAAGTGTTTAACTAATTCTTCTCCACCTCCCTGCCCTTCCTTTTTCCATCGCTGACCTTCATATTATTGTCCAAGTAACTCTAAAGCATATTAAGCTGATGATGTTTGCTTAGAAAGTGAAGTTGTCGCAAGATTACGGTGAAAACGATTCACTTCTGTTTAAACAGTGTGCAACCTCTACCCCTTCCACTCCTCCCTCCTGGGAATCCTTATCACATATTTGTCCTAAAAACATTACCCACCTGTCCTGTACTTTATAGTATCAGCAATATATCTTTTTATCTTGTGGATGATGTGCCTTTATATTTTGAGAAAAAATTTCTAGTAACAGATTCGGTTTACATGGACAGAAACTTGAGCAAATGCCAAACTAGCAGGGGGGCCATTATTCTCCTCTATAAATAAGTTTAAAAAAAGAAAGAAACACACACACACAGAAACCTGTGAATCAACATGTTTTGGTCTAATTGAGGGGAAAAGCAAGATAGATAAATTTTGAAATGCAAATGATCACCTTCTGTTATTTAAGTATAGTTTTCTGCCAACTTTGTGATCTTAGATTTTAAAAAGTCAGTCATTTCAACAATGCATATATACTGCCAAGGATGTCTGATGTTGACAAGCTTCTGTAACAAAATGAAGAATGTTTTTTAAAAAGTTGCGACTTTTTATTTTAAAGAAAACAAATCTAACAACAAAAAGACAAAAACCACGGAGCATTCTCTGTCTACATCTGTGAAAAAGCCAGCAAATAAATGGCTGCAGCTGCAGGCCCATCAAGAGGGTCTTGAGAATACGAATTCACTGATCAAACCCAGCCCTGTTTTCAAAGTAGAAGCCCTTCCTTTTAGGTTCACTTTGTATTTTTAGATTATCTAGGATGACTCTCTAGAAAGGTTTTACTTTAAATAAACATCATTCATGGTAAATGGGTTCCTTTCATACCAGAGAAACAGAAAGGAGTTCAGGAAGAGCAAAGAGCAAAGAAATTGTCCCCAAAGTAGGAATAGATTGTATAGCATGACAATACAAATATAGCACCGTCCAGTTTCCATATTAGGAGACTTTTAGATGCTGTATTAAGAGACTTTTAGACAGGCTCCCCTATTTTCCATTGTGAGAGATTATAGAATAAAAACGGGAGTAAATTGATTCTTCTTCTTCAGAGGACTTCCTTGTAGTTTCTCTGATTTTATTTCTATTTGCACATACACAGGCACGCAAAGGATTTTGTGTGTTTTATCATTGCAACTATTTATCATAATATAGAATAAATTTTTGTTATAAAATTTCAAGTATGAAGAAAAACTAAAATGTCAAGAAAGTATTTTTCTTAGTCTTTTTTAGCAGTCTTGCTTGAGGTCTTTTTAGACTTGAGGATTTATAGGTGAATATAAGTGTAAATTGACAAAGTCTAAAATGCTCTTTACTGCATCCCAATCTCTATGCTCCCAGATGTCAAATGACAGCTTTGCTTCCTCTCGTAGGCGATTTCACACTTGGAAACAGCTCACAGCTGACAGGGAAAAGTGAAACATAGAAAAATCATGCCGAACACCATCTCTGAAATTCAGTTTTAGAGCATGACATTTATTTACTACCATCCTTTGCTCTTCTAGCCTGACTTTATCAAATAGTCCATGAATATATTTTTTGAGAGTAGCCTCCCATGCTCTTCTCCATAAACATGTTTCACACACAATTTGTTGCTTTTTAAGCATGGTGCTCTATGTGATAGTTACGTATTTGATAATTAGTTCTAGGACTCAGATCATGTGTGGTTGAAAATATCATGAGGCTATCATAAGATTAAAAATTTGCGATGGAATTGAGAATTGCTAAACCTTGATATTTGTTCCCATATCAGCCATTAACTCATTGCATGACCTTATTGTGCAAGTTACTTAAGACTTTCCAGGACTTACTTTACTGGTAGTAAAATAGATTAGTTGAGTATAAAAAAGATTACAGATGTCAAATCATCTAATTTCCTTCTTATACAAAATATAGTAAAAATTCAAGTCCATCTTATTCAGGCAAAAGTTTTACCCCCAAGGGCAAATACTGATTTCTTGTCTAATATTGGTAGGGTTAAAATAATTATTTAACTTGGGGAACTTTCTAAGTATGTATTTTTACTCATAGAGTTGTACATAAAGAATGTATTGTGGAGCCTGGCTGGCTGAAGTGGCTCAGGTGGCCAAATGTTGTCCACACAATGAAAAGTTGCTGGTTTGATTCCCAGTCAGGATACATCCCTTGGTTGTGGGTTTGATCCCCCGTCAGGGCACTTACGAAAAGCAACTGATCTCCCTTCCTTCCCTCCTACCCTTCTTCTCTGTAAGCATGTCCTCAGATGAGGGGCAGGGGAGGGGAAATAAAATACATTGTAGAAATGAGAGATTTATGGAAAATATTTAGAGGAAAAAAATCAAGACACAAAGCTTTTGAGTAGGGTGAAATTTGAATGCCAAGAGTCTCAGCAAACAAAATTACTTAAAGAAGAATCATTTAGATCTGAGAATTTTGGGATGAGGAGTCTAATTTTAGGAATGCAAAGTTGATAGAGAAAGCAAACAAATATTGATGTGTATTTTGCAATACTAATGATATAACCAGGAAATACAGGTATATCCCTGGTGTAGTCTCTCCCCACCTCCCATTCCCAAAGTAGAAAGAAGAAAAAGGGAAGAGGTAGCTTTTA